GGATGATCCCAATGATTTAAGGGGGGTTCCGTTAATTGATGGCCGATCCCAAAGAATGATGGACGATCCCAATGATTAATGGGGGATCCCATTAATTGACGGCCGATCCCAAAGTCTGATGGACAATCCCAATGATTAATGGGGGATCCCATTAATTGATGGCTGATCCCAAAGTCTGATGGACAATCCCAGTGATTAATGGGGGATCCCATTAATTGATGGCTGATCCCAAAGAACGATGGATGATCCCAATGATTTAAGGGGGGTTCCGTTAATTGATGGCCGATCCCAAAGAATGATGGACGATCCCAGTGATTAATAGGGAATCCCATTAATTGATGGCCGATCCCAAAGTCTGATGGATGACCCGTGATCAGTGGGGGATCCCATTAATTGATGGCTGATCCCAAAGAATGATGGACGATCCCAATGATTAACGGGGGATTCCATTAATTGATGGCCGATCCCAAAGTCTGATGGACAATCCCAATGATTAATGGGGGATCCCATTAATTGATGGCCGATCCCAAAGAACAATGGACGATCCCAATGATTAAAGGGGGGTTCCGTTAATTGATGGCCGATCCCAAAGAATGATGGACAATCCCAGTGATTAATAGGGAACCCCATTAATTGATGGCTGATCCCAAAGTCTGAGGGACGACCCGTGATCAATGGGGGATCCCACTAATTGATGGCTGATCCCAAAGAATGATGGACGATCCGAATGATTAACGGGGGATCCCATTAATTGATGGCTGATCCCAAAGAACGATGGATGATCCTAATGATTAACGGGGGATTCCATTAATTGATGGTTGACACCAAAGAACGATGGACGATCCCAATGATTAATGGGGGATCCCATTAATTGATGGACGATCCCAAAGAACAAGGGACGATCCCAGTGATTAATGGGGGATCCCACTAATTGATGGCTGATCCCAAAGAACGATGGATGATCCTAATGATTAACGGGGGATTCCATTAATTGATGGTTGACACCAAAGAACGATGGACGATCCCAATGATTAATAGGGAATCCCATTAATTGATGGCCGATCCCAAAGTCTGATGGACGATCCCAATGATTAATGGGGAATCCCATTAATTGATGGCTGATCCCAAAGAACGAGGGACGATCCCAGTGATTAATGGGGGATCCCACTAATTGATGGCTGATCCCAAAGAACGAGGGACGATCCCAGTGATTAATGGGGGATCCCACTAATTGATGGCTGATCCCAAAGAATGATGGACGATCCGAATGATTAACGGGGGATTCCATTAATTGATGGCCGATCCCAAAGAATGATGGACAATCCCAATGATTAATGGGGGATCCCATTAATTGATGGCCGATCCCAAAGAGCAATGGACGATCCCAGTGATTAATAGGGAATCCCATTAATTGATGGCTGATCCCAAAGAATGATGGACAACCTGTGATCAGTGGGGGATCCCATTAATTGATGGTTGATCCTAAAGAATGATGGACGATCCGAATGATTAACGGGGGATTCCATTAATTGATGGCCGATCCCAACGTCTGATGGACAATCCCAATGATTAATGGGGGATCCCATTAATTGATGGCCGATCCCAAAGAATGATGGACAACCCGTGATCAGTGGGGGATCCCATTAATTGATGGTTGATCCTAAAGACTGATGGACGATCCCAATGATTAACGGGGGATTCCATTAATTGATGTTTGATCCCAAAGAACAATGGACAATCCTAATGATTAATGGGGGATCCCATTAATTGATGGCTGATCCCAAAGAATGATGGACGATCCCAATGATCGATGCATGATCCCAGTGACTAATGGGGAATCCCGTTAATTACTGAGTGATCCCAATTGTCAGTGGGGGATCCTATTAATTGATGGGCGATCCCAACGACTGATGGGGGATCTCGTTAATTGATGGGGGATCCCAGTGATTAATGGGGGATCCTATTAATTGATGGGCGATCCCAAAAATTGATGGATGATCCCAGTTATCAAGGGGGATCCCATTAATTGACGAGTGATCCCAGTGATTAATAGGGGCTTCCATTGATGAGCGAACCCAAAAGATGGATGATCCCAATGATCAATGGATGATCCCAGTGATTAATGGGGGATCCCGTTAATTGATGGCTGACCCCAAAGACCGAGGGACGATCCCAATGATCAATGGGGGATCCCATTAATTCACAAATGATCCCAAAGACTGAGGGACGACCCCAGAATCAACAGATGACCCCAATGATTGACGGACAACCCCGCTGACCAATGGATGATCCCAATGATGAACGGATGACCCCATTAATCACTGGATGGTCCTAACGACCCACGGACGATCCCATTAAACAACGGATGATCCCAAAGACCACTGGGCGATCCCACTGATTGATGAACAATCCCAATTAGCACTGCACGATCCCATTAACCCATGGGCGACCCCAATGACCACTGGACGACCCCATTATCCAATGGACATTCCCATTAGCACTGGGTGATCCCATTAAACAATGGGCGATCCCACTGATTGATGAATGATCCCAATGACCACTGGACGATCCCATAAATAAACGGATGATCCCAATGACCACTGGATGATCCCACTAACCAATGGCTGATCCCAATGACCACTGGACGATCCCATTAACCACTGGATGATCCCATAATCCAGTGGCTCATTCCAATGACCACTGGATGACCCCATAAATAAACGGATGATCCCAATGACCACTGGACGATCCCATTAACCAATGGCTGATCCCAATGACCACCGAACGATCCCATTAACCAACGGACACTCCCATTAACCACTGGATGATCCCATAACCCAGTGGCTGATCCCAACGACCACTGGACGATCCCATTAACCAATGGCTGATCCCAACGACCACTGGACGATCCCATTAACCAACGGCTGATCCCAACGACCACCGGACGACCCCATTAACCACTGGACGATCCCATAAGCCAGTGGCTGATCCCAACGACCACCGGACGACCCCATTAACCAACGGCTGATCCCAACGACCACCGGACGATCCCGCCGATCGACAAACGCTTCCAACGCCGACCCCCCCACCCCCCCCCACAAAGACCCCCATCCACCACCACCCCCCACCCCCTTCCCTCAGTTGAGGAATCGGCGGCAGCGCTTGGCCCCGCAGTTGCAGGGCAGCTTGGCCGCGGGCTCCTCGATGGGGAACTTGTAGTCGTAGGTCAGCTCCTCGCCCCGCAGGATGCGGCGCAGGGCGAAGATGACGATGCGTTTGTGCCCCTCCACGTGGATGACCCGCGAGTAGCAGTTGGGCTCGCAGGAGTGGTTGATGAAACGCGCGGCGCTGCCGTGCATCGTGGCGTCCACCACCTCCGCGTCGTCGATGCGGAACATGTAGCAGCCGATGCCCTGCGGGGCGGCGGGGTGTAAAAAAGAGTGGGGGGAGGGCATCCATGTGGGGTGGGGATATCATGGATGTGGGGTGGGGACCTGCGGAACCCAACGTCTTTGGGATGGGGACATTGATGG